TGCAAAATAGATCAATAATATCATCTGGTGCAATGAGTATGTGGTATTCTATTGGTACTATTATGGGATATGGTGCAGATTTTCATGTTCGAACAGCTCCCGGACGATTATTAACTATAGGTTTATATCTCTTAAGCCTGGTATTAGTGGCAACATATACTGCAAATTTAGCATCTGATTTAACAATATCAAAATCAAAGGATACTATTTCTGGCATTGATGATATCAAAAATGGAAAGATACCATTTAGTCGTATTGGTATTCTTATAGAATCAGCAGAAGAAGATTATTATTTACGTGAAATTTCTGGAGGTGTTCGTAATTATTATCCATTGAAAACGAAAAATGAATTGTTTAGCAGTTTATTAAATAATATAATTGATGCGTCGATTTTGGATATTAGTGCTATAGAATATTATACTAATAATATATATTGTAATTTAACACTTGCTGGGAAAGATTTTGCCCCGAGTTCATATGGCATTGTTTATCCTAAACAATGGTTGTATGGAAAAGATTTAGATGTCACTATATTATCATTAAGAGAATCAGGTGTTCTTGATGATTTAAAAAGGAAATGGTTTGATAAAAATGTTTGTCAAGATTCAACTTCATCTTATGTATCTACTAGTATCAACATGGAACAAATGAGTGGTTTATTTGTTACTTTTGGTCTTATCAGTATTCTATCGATAGTGTTATTTATATGGAAAAAACGATTTGTTATAAAAGATTGTCTAACAAGATCAGTACGTTGAAAGAATTCTTTAATTCAACAGCAAGTCTATGAAACAACAGATCCAATGAAAATTTTGTCTAAATGTACACAGAACTTTCAATTGTCTTTGCTCTATACTACAAAACTATAATTGCAAAACTATCTTTATCGGAATTACTTGTAAATCATTTATTCGCTTTTAGAATTCATTATATCAATCAATAAAAGATGAGAAAAATTTCTAAAAAATGTATTTTCATATAATTTGTGTCGTTGATAGCTAAAGACTAGAACCCTACTCAAGGGTGGGTGTGAGTATGGGCGCAGCTCTCCTTTGCAAAAAAGCGACACGCGTACATCCACACCCTCTAAAAGATTTCTCTAGAAAGTGAATTAATCATCGAAACGAAACAAAAAAGAAAGATACTGATTTCTCTATCCGTTTACACATTCATTGTAAAAATATAGAAATCAAATGAAAGAATTAAAGATTATATTCAACGAATTTACCTTCTTGCATAAATTGCATCAATGGCGAAGAATTCAAATGATGAACAGTTTTCATGAAAGAATTCTAAACAACAAAAACAAAAAGATAAATGAATTTCGAAATTGAAAAAATATTATTAAATCCTTTTGGAAAATAGATCATATCAATAGAAATAGAGCGAACAAAAATTCAACTTGAAGCAACAATATGCTTTTCGACTGATACTATATTCATTTAACGAGTAATAGAAAACGTTTAAAATGGTTTGAATTTTCGGGTTTTCGTTGTTTTTCAACCAAAGCCTGTAGTCTTACTCAGTTGACATACAAAATCGACGTTCGAATTCAAATTTTGCATGAACATCAGATTAATTCTTTGGACAACGTTGTAACTTTTCTAGGGTTTTTTTTTCTTAACCTGAGATATTGAATATTCGAAACTTTCTATATTAACCAATCTCGTTAAGAACTTTATTCACACCAAGTGTCAAGTCGAAATTCTATTTTTCAGATGACCTGAGAGGAACTACATGCCTTTATACTGAGGGTGGGTGTGAGTGTGGGTTTAAACAAAAACTTCAGACACCCACACCCACACCCCACGTTAAAGTCACATATTTGAAGCCTAGTAAGATTGACAGAAGAATAGAAAACTAACGGATTTTTTCACAAATGCGGAATGATTTATCATGCTCTTTTTTGATTCCATATATTGTCCTGATATTCAATTGAATGCATAGCTGTATTATATGAATCATTGTTATATTATAAAAGTAGGATATAATAATTAAGTTCTTGAAGATTGTTGTCAATGACTTTTCAATGTTACATCGATATTTTTCTCTAATTTCATGAAGATTTTCCAAGCATGGCAGTAAAATCTGTATTAGTTTAACGGCGATAATGGCGCCCATTTTTTAATAAACGTAAAACATGTCGTGCATTTTTTTTTGCATCAAGTAATTTAGAACCGACGGGCGAAAGATGAAAAAGAGAAAGAATCATATTTTTACAGTACTAACTCTGTATATCACAAGTGAATATTGGTTAATTTTGAGAGTGCGCATAAGAACAGGAAGAAAAACACATTTTATACTTGCACATAAAAATAATGATTTCTTTTTTTCAAGCTCTCGTTGTGCTCTCACAAAAACACGTTACGTGACGTAGAACTTCAAATTTGATCTAACTATTATGTCTTCAGCTCTGAAAAATAAAATAAAATTTTGAACTGAAGCTGGAAGAATCTTTTTATACTCTTCCGTTCTAATTTCAGCATTGTGACGAGACGAGTTAGTTCGTACAGCATATTATTTATAGTGTTTATGTTTCAGTTATAGATTGAATTGAATTATGGGTAATACATCATCTTCTACTGATGAAGATAATAATTCGACTTTGCCATTCAGCTCTGGTTCATCATTACGATCTAGAATTCTCATCGAAGCTGAATCACTACGAACTGAAGCACAGCAACTAATGTTCCAAGCGAAAGCAGTGTCGGAACAATCTCAAATTGCATATCGTTCTGGTCATAAATCGGAAGCAAAAATATTATCAATAAAAAAAATCAATCTCTACAGACAGATGAATGAAAAAAACCAACAAGCTGCGGAATTAATTTTTAAACATTTTAACCAGGATCGTCCAAATAATGTCATCGATTTACATGGTCTTTACGTTGAAGAAGCATTGCAATATTTGCAAAAAAAATTAGATGAATGCCGTTCAAAAAATAAATCACAATTAATAATTATTACAGGGATAGGAAATAATTCCCAAGACAAAATAGCAAAAATTAAACCAAAAGTGGAAAACTTCGCCAGGCAAAATCACTTGAAAATGATCTCTTATAGTGGGCATGTTGTGATAGATTTAACAGAAACGAATCACCAAAATACAAATGGATGTATTATTTTGTAGAATCTTTAGCTTGTTTTTTGTTTTTCTTCATTTTATCTGTCTTTTTACGCCGTTTTCGTGTCTCTCGAATAGTCGGAGAAAGAGCATATACAAAAAAGCATCAACGTCTATTACAAACATATGCTGACTCTATTTTTACATTGTTTTTTTGTTCTCTTTATCCGTGCAAATAAAAAAGTAACAAAGAATGTGATATGAATTGATGCAACGTAGCAAGAGAAAAAATATTTTTGTCAGGTACATTTCGTCTATGATACTATCCCGAGAGTTATATGACGATGAACATACGTATAATTACATTCGTCTTGGTTATTATATCATGCATTTTTATTGTTTTTTATACTTTAACAAGGACGAGAATTCATTGATTCCATATGTTACATATAAAAGTTATCTTATTCTAGGTCATCTATTTCCTTTTCTTCGTCATCGAACATAATTTTTATTCGATTGTCGACAATGATATGGTTCATTTTTTAAAATTCGAGTATTCAATCAATGTTTTATATTGGCACTTTCTCCATCGGATTGGACGATTATTCTTCGAAATTCATCATTCTATCTTCCATCCATCGATATTGCTGCGTAAATATTCGATTTATCCAATTCTTTTACTGGTGTGTATGAAATTTTAATATAACTAAGTAATGATTAAAACAATTTGATATTGTACAGAACATCCAGTCTTGAATGTGAAAAATCATGCGTATTTGATGTTAATTTTCATTGTTTTAGCGCCGATCTACCTAAATAGTTGTATTTCTGATTCTTCACCAAAGGATTAAAAGTACGTTCTCGATTAAATAACTCATGATTAAAAAAAAACTTTATCCACCGCATAAATCTGAATTTGTACGAGCTCGAACAACTCTTTTTCTTAATAAATATAATTGAATTTTAGAAAAAGACCATTTTGAAGATCATTAAGCAATACTATTCCTGTTGTATTTTTTGTTTTTTATTCTATATTTTACAAGATACAAAAGCAGTGGAAACAATTACACGAGAAATCGATACATAATTGCCAGTTTTTTTTTCTCTTGATAATGATGCAGATGATACATTTGTTAATGAATGGACTCCGGAAAGATTAAACTTATGCATTTATTTAGAGAGTGCAATCAACGAAATGTTCAGATTAGCTGGTGCACCATTGATGACAAGAAAATGTCAATGAGAAACTCCAATAGTTTTACAAGATGGATGTACTTTTACTGTAAAACCTAATAAAATAGTTGGTTCTTTCACTGCTATAACTCATCGTGGTCCAAATTTATTTTCGATCGATTTGTTAATAAAAATGCCGAAACTGTTTCGAATCATATGGCATTTGAAGCTGGTAAAAGTATGTGTCCAGGACGATTCTTTGTCAAGAATGAAATGAAAATTTGTCTTGCGATGCTTTTATGTTATATTGAATACAAGGTTATCGACACAATAATCATTTCAAAACAAAAACCAGAATATGTAGGATTCGCTGTTATACCACCAAATTAAGATATACCAATTACGTATCGATATAAAATATAAAATATTATGAATATTCATTAACCTATAGAAAACTTTATTTAACGGAAAGAAAACTTTTATGATTTTTATTAGCAGGAAGCAGTCGACGTTAATAAAAATGTGTCAACAATATGCAAATAAGCATTACAACTTGATTCAAATTATAGTTTATAGTAACTGCTATTGATTGTCTTGCTGTCGTTAATATAGTTATTGTCGCTAACAAAAAGAAAATATGTATGCCAATTGTTTCAAAAAGTTGGAAGTTTTGACCTACTTGATATTGTAATGGAACTTGTCGTAGATGATATCGAGTTTACTGGTGAATCTAAAATACATTTAGTTAGTGCTACACCTGTGTGCCTCTGGCGTGAGATTAAAAAAGTGATATCTTACGTATGTGATGTTGTACTATTTGATGTGAACGCGATTGTAGACCATGTTGTTGAGGGTGAGTATACCGAGCTTGATGCTGAAATCGAGATACGTGGTGTTATCGTTGTTGTCAATGAAATCTTCGGTCGATTTAAAAATTGATAGACAAATACAAATCCACGAAGTGAATCTTGTCGTTTACTACTAGAGGATGTGAGTGTGGATGGTGCAACAGTGTTTATGTGAAGCATACTCTAACATCTTCACCCTCTTATGTCCTTATATACCAAATCAAGAGTTCAACAGTCGGGCTACACCTCTGTCCGTCAAAGTAGCACTTATTATGCGACAACTGCATATTCATGCAACAATTTTCTACTTACCTACTTAGAACTTTAATTCGTTATGGCTGCTGCAGGTTTTAACACTCAAAAAAAGAAATTTACTTCAAATTGTAACAAAAAAGTCGAAGGCAAAAAAAATTTTCCGCACCTATATTTACTAAATAGAAAAATTATTGTCTTCGAGGAACAGTTCAAGTATCCTGTCGAAGCAATAGTCTAAAATAAAATGAAGAAAAACAAAAATAGAAATCGGTGCTCTTCGTATTGAATAATGGGAGCACGATAAACAAGCCTTTGATGTAAAAAAAAAATGTTCGCTCGTTACAAATAAATACAAGGGGTAAACGGAATTCGTCTTGCTTGGATGTGAAGTCAGAATTCTATGATGAAAAAGTATGATGTTACAATCTTCACTTTTAATATCTGAAAACTGTTTTGTGCATACATGTCTAATAGATCAGAATAGATAAAGATTCTTTGCAAAAGACAAACACATTCTTCCTTAATGTTTGAAAACGTGTCGTTGCTAGTCAAGTTGATAGCACTGTTATCGTTATAAAATTTCTTCTTCTGCAATATTATGTTCTCTCATTCCAGATATTTCCTCATTTAATTGTTTTTGCTATCTAAAATAAGCAATACAAAGGCAAAAAAGACAGCAAAATGTTCAAGTTTCAATTGACGAACAAAGAAAAACGGTTCATGGAAATGAAGATTTTCTTTTTTCATATAGAAAGTTCCTCTTATATAAGAATAAATTCAAGTATTTATTAAGAGTCTTATCATAGAAAAAACAAACCTAATCAAACAAAATCGAAGATTTTATCATGAATATGTCGTCATAAGTTACAAATTAGCTAAATTTTGGGCATCGTTATTGGCTAAGAAAAGAGGTATACACACATCCACATCCACACCCCAAACAAAGTATTCAGTATTTTCGAAAAATTTTTTTGATTGCCATGAAGATTTTTTTATGCAATTAGAACTTAAGTGGTTTCACGAACGGCATAATAGTACAATTTAATAAAGAACTTAATAATATTTTATTAGTTTAGTCTCAGGTGTTAAAGTTTGATACTGTTCGCTGAGGGCATTAACTATCAACAGAATTCATTTAAAATTTTGAGCGTAGTCGTTTTTCGTCTGAATGAGTGATACAAATCTAGAAGGCGAAAACAAAAGACACTAAGAGTGGGTGCGTAGGTGTGAGCGAGTATAGGTGCGGCTGTTATGTGTGATGGTTTTGATGTTTTGTTTTCCTTTGTCTATATCATACCCATGCTCACATACATGGACACCGGCACCGACACACACACTACACTAGCAGCAAAACTCACACCTCTTCATGAGTCCGTTATCTCGATTTATGCATATTGAAACGTTATAGACAGATCATATTCTCGACGAGGATAAGTTTACTATAGTTCTTTCTTCAAAATCTATCGGAGAATAGATGGCAGTAATAGCCGTTTGTTGCATTGGTTATTGTGAGTGTTCTTTCAATTGGCAAATTCATTTTTCCTTATCTCGGAGTTCGAACTTCCACATTTGAGAGTGATCTATGGTTGGCCATACCCCACTAAGCTTTGAAAAGAAAAAGCCTACTGAGTGACTCATAAGGAGCATTGCACAACCGTTATGCCATATATGTTGTGGTAGGCAAGGAAGAATATGACAAAAACGCACGTTTTTTGGTGTTACTTATCGTTTCTGTTTTTTTTTGAAAAAAGGCAAATAATTTTGGTGTACAACACTTACTGAATGAGCTGTGCCGTTACTCGATTTTCGTCACTAGCATCAAACTCATATCTTTACTCGTTTACTCAATTCAAGTCTCTTTTTCAACAAATTCAAAAAACTCCAAATATATAAATTATTGATCTGAGTAAGTTCTCACCCAAAAAAATATTGTAGCAGCATATAAGCATACTAAGAAAATTTTTGCACTGAAATTCACTGGCTTCTGTTCTTCAATGTCCATCAGTAATATTAGTTTGTCAGATCGTATTTCCGGTTCGTTATTTGGATTATTATTATGTGATTCCTTGGGAGCTGCTGTCGAAGGTCAGTCTCCTGGTTCATTTGATCCAGTAAAAACATTACGAGGAGGTGGTAAATTTCAGTTAAAGCCCGGACAATTTACTGATGATGGCTCGATGGCATTATGTTTAGCTGTCGCTTTATTGGGTAACGAAAACGATACTTCAATTATTCATCCATCAGTTGTACAAATGAATTTATATCGACATTGGTATGAAACGGGTTATTTATCCTCAACTGGAGAATGTTTTGATATAGGAATGACTGTGCGCACTGCCCTAAGTACATTTATTTCTCATTATGATCAAGCTGAAAGTAATAAATTAACTGGCACTGCTGCTTACCATGGGAATACCAGTAGTAATGCTTCAGGCAACGGTTCGTTAATGCGATTAGCGCCTGTTCCCCTGCTTTATCATCGTGATCCTGTTAATGCTATGAATGAAGCAGTAAATTCATCAAAGACTACGCATGGTTCGCTACTATGTTTAGATAGTTGTAGAGTATACACGGCTTTAATTATTGGCTCTTTACAAGGAGCTACTAAAGAGGAGTTATTGAATAGTGATGAATTATATGTTCCAGCTGGTTTATCGAATGATTACTGGACAACAAAAACAACCTCACCGCTTGAACCATCTGTTGTAGAAGTGATGACTGGATCTTACAAACATTGTAATCCGCCTCAGATAAAAGCTTCAGGGTTTGTTATCAAGACAATGGAAGCAGCGTTGTGGGCATTTTATCACACAAATTCGTTTGAAGAAGGCGCACTGAAAGCAGTAAATTTAGGAGATGATGCTGATACTGTTGGAGCAATTTATGGCATGTTAGCTGGAGCTTATTATGGAGTCAATGCCATACCCATAGAATGGAGGGAGAAATGTAGTTTTCAAGGTCTGGTGCAAACAATAGCAGACGAAATATTAATACAATCACAACAGCGAACGGCGGCGATAGAGCAGAAATCAGCTTCGTCGAATAAACCATCATTGGTATACAGAAGAGTATTGGAAGTGTACAATGAATTGGCTGCATTTTATTCAGGAACGATTAAACGTCGTGTATTGCCTTGTCCTAAGCAATATAAATCTAGTCAACAATTCGATGAGGACGTCATGCAATTTCACTCAATTTATCACAATATTTTCAAGTCAATTAAATGGTTGGAAGAATGGGAAGACGCTACTACCACTGATGAGAAACAGCTGATTTTAAGTCGTTGTGATTCAATTTTAAAACAATTTCTAAGTCTAATTGAGGAAGATAAACACTTATTAACTATAAAGTGGTCAAGAAGCTTGAACCATCTTCAAATGCACACAAATCTTGCCGCTACTACCTGCTTACATCAGCCTACAAAGTTGAACTCTGATAAACAGCAGCCAGATCCGTCTTCATGAAATCGAACATACACTTCGATACTACTCATTCTCTTTCCTTTTCTTTTCTCATTTCGCTTCTATTATGTCTTTTCTTTAATCTTAATTAAACTTTGTATTCTTTTCTACTTTATCCTCACTTTCATGTTTTAGTATAAACACTTTTTTGGTTCATGAAATAAACAGAGAGAAGAAAATGCACACTTCTTTAATTATGGCAGTCACTCTTCGTAAGCGCGAACCCTAGCAATAGTAGAAATGTTTTGAATGCTATTTTCCCTCTTTTTGTGAAGCTCTCCTAATATCCATGATTTTATGTGAAACATCAAACACGAGGGAAAGTTTAATACGTTATCGTAGCTGTGATACACGGTTTCAAAAGCGACGAACGTGCCAAACTAGACCGACGACTATGTCAGATTAAACTGACAAACGTAAAAAAAACATACTGAAGATCGATTGCAGGTCATAGAGATATGAAGTTTTAATAATGCGGTGAAGAGTGTGGGTGTGGGCAAGGAGAACAGGGAGATGAGCAACTACCCTTACAGGTAGATCCAAACCCAGATCTAGAAGAAAAAAGGTATATTTTCACTATTAATTGCAAATAACAACTGTCAGAGTTACATTATATTCTGATTTTATTCACGTGCTCGTATATATTAATGATACATAACGTTATGAAGTGATAATCGAAAACTCCAAAGTTTATCATTTTCCTACTCATTGAAGTTTAAAGTCAGATAGTAATTGAAGAAAAATTCACGTTCTGATGTTAAAGATTCCTTTGTCACAGTTGATATTGGAATTCAGTTGAGTTTGGAATGCATGTTAATAGTATGAGTTACACGAAAATTAATGTTTGTTTACTATTGTATTCGACTTTTGTAATTTTAGCGATTCTAAATGATTGGACGAACTTCTATGATTTGAATTATTTTAAAATATTTACACATAGAAAATTTTCATTCTCAACCATTCTTATTTAGTGAGTATTAGAGTTTTATGAATTTTATTCATCTCCTTATCATTAATCGATTGATGTTCGTTGCTATGGAACATCGAATCAAGAAACACATTCTATGTCTGTTTGTTTTTAAATACATAAATTTTTTTTTCATGTAAATCTCTTACAAAAAAATGAGCATTCTCGATTCTAAACTACAATCTTACATTTATAAACTTTCTTACAATAAATCTATCAAATAGATTATCAACAATCCGTTTATAGTCCAGTTATTACTCGATCAATCCAAAAACGGACCGGCTGCTATTCTAAATAGCATAAATCATTCAATTTCAATTTTTGAATAACGAATTTGCTAATACAAAACAATTAAACAATCATTCAATCCATTCATATCACGAGCATCGAAAAAAAAACTATTTTATAAAAACAAATAGCTCAAGTACTCTTGATTTCGTTTCAACCAATCATTGAATGTCCCAATGTCTCGCTGCTCGAAAAAAAATCTATTTTATAGGAACAAATAGCTCAAGTAGTCTCGATTTCGTTTTAACCAATCATTCAATGTCCCCATGTCCCGCAGGTCGAAAAAAAAACATCTCTTCTATAGAAACGAATAGCTCAAGTACTTTCGATATCTTGAGGGTGTGGGTGTGGGTGTGGGTGTGAGGGTATGGGTGTGGGTGTGAGGGTATGAGTGTGGGTGTGGGTGTGGGTGTGAGGGTATGGGTGTGGGTGTGGGTGTGAGGTGTGGATGTGGTTATGGTTGGGTGTGAGCGTGGTTGAGTGTGGATGTAGGTAAAGACGCACACTAACACTTACACCCACACCCACATGCTCACACTCACACACCCACACCTACGCCCACACTCATACCCACACTCACGCGCTCACACTCACACACCCACACTTACGTCCACACTCATACCAACACCCACACCCGCATTCACACCCCGCACCCCACACCCTACAGCGAGATTTATAGATTTTGTAGGGGTTCTACGGATGTTTATAGACTTTGAAGGGTTGCGATCGGATTCTATGGTGTGCGTGCCGTGGGAATAGATATTTGTTGACTTTCAGTTGTTGGAAGGGCGTTAATGTGTTTTGGAGCGAACCCAGGTAGTTTGGTCTCGGGAAGAACAAAACCCGAGAAACAACCAAACTCGGAAACGGCTCAACTCGAGTAGTTCAGTCGTTTGCCGGATTTGATGCATGCCTATTCTAGACATTCAGTCTAGGGAATCTATTAAGAAATTTGATTGCCATAGTAGGTTACTTTTTCATATTGCCTGTTTTTATTATCACGTGTGCAAAGATTCCTTAAGAACAATCGACCTTATCTTCGATAAACAGATAACTGATGCTACTATCACGTTGTTTTTATTTTTGACTCTTTATCACCGCCTTTTTTTATTTTTCATCAACTGACTTTTTATGTCCTCCCAGCTAGACATTCGTACTTTTTCTTGTTTTCAAGCCACTTTCATTTATATTATTTTATTTATTTCTCATCATTTGTCAATGTTTCTTTAGATGAAAAACTTCGAGTCGTTCAGTATCGCCTATATCAGCATATCCTTTCAATACTTTAAGCCAGCTGCTTTATACGGATCGGTGGTCCAAGCATTGCTTTTTCAAATAGTGAAAATCGCAACTCTCTATCTTGTTCCTATCAAGAGTTATTCAAAAACTGACTGCTCATCTTTTATTTTTTTCGGACAATAGTAGGTTTGATTTTAAACTAAATGTCTGATTGGGTGTATGACAAAAAACAGGTTTACTGTTAACCAGTATGAACGAAACCTATTATTTCAATTTGTAATAAAAGGTTAGCAGAAAACTATTGGGTTGTAATATAAGTTCTGAACGCTTTTTTTGTGTTTTAGCCAAATGTAAAGCTTGATATCTTGTGATGGGAAAGAGATAGAGGTCTGATATTTTTAGTATAGGTAGAACTCATAGAAATCTATTTACACAAAAATCCCAGACTTCTATCACTTTCCAGTCATAAAATATCAAGCCTTTCATTTGCCTAAAACACAAAAAAAGCGTGCAGAACTTATGTTACAACCCAATATTTATACGAAGCCTTTTGTATGAAACCTTTATTTCAGTCGTCAAGAGATAGTTTGCTACGAAACCAAAGAGGATCTTACCGTGTATCGAGGTGAAGAACCTTTTTAAGCTCTGTGAAAAACCTTTTTTTTTTATAGCGTAGAACGCTGTGTCTGGAGAAATTAGCGCACCTCGAACACACAAATAATAATTGAGAGAGTAGGCAGAATTGCGCCAATAGGGCATTCACCAATGGCGAATGCCCAGAGGGTGTGTGACGAAAGTCCATTGGACTTTTACCAGCTGTCACGAAAGACTACTAATACAGGACAAATGTCAAGGCTAAAACTAATTTCGTTAGAATATACGGGCATGGCCAACCGGCGTGAAGCCCCAATTTTCATCTGCTTCCATAGCTTCAATCAGATATCAGAGAAACATGATTGTTTTACTAGTTATAGTACATATATAATGCTAATGATCTGTTATTATTTGAGCTCTCTATCTTACTATGAATGAGAGCACATAAATGTTTTCTTATCATCATTTCATTAAAGGTAATTGGATAAGAGATGTATTGGTGAACGATACGTAGTCACTCCAAGAGAGAAATTTGATGGTAGTAAATTAACAGCTGAAGACAAAGACTTCAATCGTAGCATTAATAGTGCAAGAGCCACTATTGAAGATATTAATCAACGTCTCAAAACCTTCATTATTTTTAGTAGTGGTTACACAGAAGCTGTTGGTGACTTTGACAAGATAACGAAATCCCACGAGCTGTCTCTACTCTATGTAGTATGAACTTGAATAAACATTCCATTCGTTAATAAACAACATGATAAGTTGTATTGTCGGATTATCCACTTGACTATAAAACTCTGTTACTAATAGATTATGCTGATTCTAATTTCTTAATAAGATCTGACGTATGTTAAGATAATGTATACAAATTATCTTTAACGAAATGATGATAAGAAAACATTTATGAATTCTCATTCATGGTACATGGTGCGTTCGAAGAGTTCTCGGACTGATTTTATTTTAAAAAAATTATAAGTGCTGCTGTATTTGTATTATTGCCTGTGTATAGTTGATACAGTTCTCTATCTATAGACACCATAAGCTCAGTTGCATTAAACATATATATGGAAATATAGAAATACATTTTAGACCACTCTTTATACACTAACAAAAAATCAAAAATTTTGAGCGTTAATCACTGAGGAAATTTCCGGTTCTAGGAACCCATGCTTCATTTAATATTTATGTATGTATAGTGGTAGTTTACGATGATCGATTCGCTATCACTCACGACGGCTTCTGAATTAGATCATTGCTGTAAAGATGGATTATCATACGTAGATAATAATCTAGACGTCAATAACATGACTATTAAAACTTTTAGAGGATTGATCATCTATGAAACTCGAATCGCACCTGGATAAATAGCAGACACTGTTTGCATTTTAAATTTACAGTGCATAGTATTTTATGTGATCAATTATATAGGACTAAAATCGGTTTGCGAAAATACGACATACTCTAACATGGTGTCCACGACGCGTCGACTATATCTAGGACAATCGTCATTAGCCTTTAGAACGACGAGCCCATTCAAATATCGTAGTATGTGATAGAGCATTATTACTGTAAACTATTACCATATAGTCATAAATACTGAATGACAACTAGCCTTTCAAAACATAAAACTTCACTCAAGTTTTTAATTTTCTGTCAGTTCATGAAGGATGGTCTAAAATGTATTTCTATATTTTCATATGTATGTTTAATCCAACTGAGCTTATAATGTCTGTAGGTAGAGGACTGTATAAACTACACACAGGCAATAATACAAATACAGCAGCGCTTATTATTATTTTAAAAAAAATCAGTCCGAGAACTTTTCGAACGCACCATGTAAGATAGAGAACTCAAATAATAACAGATCATTAGCATTATATATGTACTATAACTAATTAAAAACGCGTGTTTTTCTTATATCTGACTGAAGCTATAGAAGCAGATAAAAAATGAGACTTCATGCAGGTTGGCCATGCCATATGTACCATAGCTTACCTTCATCAATGTAGTCGATAGAAACTTTTAATCCACATGTGATTAAGGGTGTCAAGGTTCTCGTTCCTTTGGAATCCATTCTCAGAGAGCACGAACGCATCCAAAAAGTTGTTTGTGTGTGTTTTTCGAAAGCGCTGATGTTTCGTTAAACCGTTTTTTCATTATGTGACAAATCACTATTGGTTCCTGAGCTCCAAAGAATGGGAACCCGCAGTAGATTCGGAGTTCCTAGGCCGAAACTGATATCCTATATCTGCATCACAATCAAATTGGCGAAATTCCGGAATTCTAATTGAGTTACTGTGTATGGTGAAATCTGCCCACTTTGTCTAGCTCTTCAATATGTTACCATTTGTGGATTTATAGATAATATACATTTGAAGAAGGAGTATCTCAATTACCATTCAGTTCGAATCATTTTCACATCGATATGCCTTGGTGGATATTCTTGATATTGATTTATGTTCTCATGGTCGTGATGTTTCACCTCTATGTACGATACATTTCTCCTCAACGATACAATTTTGATTCAAAATATCCATCGATTGTAATCGAACCGTGGTACTGTCCATTTATGGGGCCCATACTCTCCATATTAGACATCGAAACATCAATCAAAAAAATGGCGTGCGAAATATGGTGATAAATTTACCGTACTTATATTAGGCCGATATTTAACGTTTATCACAAAACACACCGATTTCAAGAAATACTACAATGCTACAGAAGAAATGTTGAGTCTATCAAGAGCAGGACACTTTATCGTTGGATCAACATATCCTGAGAATGAGTACATGGTAGAATACAATACAATACCCTACTTTCAAAATATCTTATCTCCGCGTCGTTTGATTTATATGGCATCGAATATCGAAACTATTACACACGATTATCTTAATACCGACAACGGCCAATTTTGGCTAGAGAACGGGAATGAAGCCATAATTGATTTATTCGATTTTGCATATCGTCTTGTTTTGCGAATGAATTCGATGAATTTCATATCACGTCGAGTGTACAAAGATCATGTTGAGGAAATTATTAAACTCTATACAATCTTGGATGTAGAAAAGAATGTCCTGAATCCGATCGTACACGGTCTTAAACGGCGTTTAGGACTCAAAAGTGAGAGAGATGTAGCATGGGAACGTTGGATGCGTATTATGATGCCAGATATCGAACAATCTTTACAAATGATCGACGACCATGTCGAACCAGCCGAGTTTGATACCGTATTCGAAACAGTGAAATATGCAAAACAGGAGCTTGAGAAATGTGGAAAACCTTTCACACCTCGGCTGGTAGCATATCTTACTTTTACTACGTTTTTTCCAGCGCAATTTAACACATATATCACGGCAGCCTTTATGATTATTGAATGGATCCGCCATGAACACGATGAAATCGGACGGCGAATTCGAGAAGAGATTGATCGTGCACCACCACCAGGTGAACTCACCATTGAATATTTAAATTCGATGGAATTCATTCAAGCATGCATTTATG